CTTTTGGCGGCTCGAGGACCGCGAATGTTTGCGCGCTTCTATTTCTGTCGCCTCTTATTGCGCACGTTTCCGCTGGAATTAGCCGAAACAGCGTTGCGGGCATCTATTGACGCAGATCCATTCATAGAAATGCCCAATGGAAGCGGATTGTCAGCGTTATACGGTTCTGCATGGTATTTGGTAGGAAGTGATTTATAAAGATCAAGGGCTTATTTGTAGTGTAAAAGGAAATTGATTGTGAAGTCTGTGAAGATACGACGCGGCATGATGAGATCAGTGGCTAGCTTTGTGACCACTAAGCTATCTACCAGTTGAGCGTTCATGTGGCGAATGTACTGCTTCTGAAGTAGAATGGTACCCCTGTTCTTCGTCCTTTACTGGGAGGTTTCTTTTGAGGACCTCTCGAAGCTAGAGCCTAGAATCGATCGAATTGATTGTTCAACGAAAATTCACGTAGGCGAAATCAGGAAAGCTGCCTTTTCCAATCTCCTTTTAGTCCATGCTCTGCTTTTTGTGTATGGTTTTCCTTACGCCATTATGGCTTCGTTATTTTGAGTAGCTCTTTTTCTGGCTGGTCACTATTTCTGTACGAAGCCATGTTGGCAAAAGATGGTATGGAATCTAGACGCAGCCTTTCCACTGTCGCTCTCGGTCCATGTTCTTCTTGTGCGCAGGGAGCTGGTGTACGAGATAAAATCAGCGATTTTGATCGCAACTTTTAAGCGCTTCTCGGGAATCATTTGGTCGCAACAAGCGATGGATCCAAATCCCAGTTGCACCCACTCTATGTGGACATGGATCTCCGTTGTTCAGAAGTTTAATCTCTAGCTTATCAAACTTCATTTGGCTCGACTTGCTCGGAGAAGTTTTCCTGGAATTTCTGAAGCTATGGCTGCGGAATTGATTGTTCAGCAGACATTCACATTAATTGATCAACACATTTTCTTGAACCAAGAAAAATTGATTAGCATCACTTATTAACGTTTGCGGAGGATCCAATAGCCCTTTGTGATTTGGGCTTTCATTGAGGCAATCCTTTCAGTAGAGATTGGTCATCACTACCCTCGCATTTTCCATTCTATATACATGTGTTCTTCAAATCAGGTCAAGGCCTTCTTCGCACTCGGATCGTCTCGGAACTGTGTGACCTTGGTGTGACCCGCTAAGTAATCCTGGTTTTTCGATAGGACGGAGCGCGTGGTTTCGAAAACCTCAAGCGCAGATTTTTTTCCACAATTTGTTAGCGTGACTTTTTCAAACTGAGGCAGTGAATTGACTTAATAGTGTTACATTTTATTAAAGCCGTGATGCTTATTTGGTAGCTGCGAGCTAGGGAAAGGAAGTGTTAGAAATGGTTGGCTGGTACTCTAGACGACGCCCAGAAAAAGAGTTAGCGGGAGATTGAGCTATCGATTGGGCTTCATCGATTGCTGTAGTGTTTGGCGCTTATCCAGATTTAGAACAAGTCTTAATATCAAGAAGTCACATTGTTATCTTTAACCGATGTTCAAATTGGCAGTATTGGTTTAAGCTGTGAACGTCGTGCACTTGTGATAAGCTAACTGATACAAATACGGTAACAAATAGTGGAATTACGGATACTAGCAAAAGCGAGTGAGGTATTGATATCGATCCTTTGTTAGGGGTTGGCCTGGTGATACATACGGACGGAGGTTAGGATTTCTTTATTTTCAGTAGAAGTCTGCTACATATTCGCTAAGAAAAGCACTTTCATTGTCCAATTTCCAGGTTCCCAGTGTCCGATCAATAAAGCTGTCGTGATTGAACAGCGAGACGATACAACAGTAACTCTCGTAGAGGGATCGACTGGTGCCTATATTGGCTACATAACCTTGCGATTCAATCCGGACAAAGCACCTCCTGCAGTGCCTCATCAACAACACTATGCGCTACAGGTTTGTGAATTTTGGGAAGCTTGAATATTCGAGTTATGAAAGTCTAGTTTGTGATGGTAGTGATAACACCCGTCTTATAAAGGTCCTTGGACATTTACATCTCCATTTTGTAAAAACTAACACATTGACGACAGCGAGAAACACATAGTCCCGCATTTTCACTCGGACGATACTTACTTCGGTTGATTTAAACCTCTATTTTCATTTTTCAAAACTGTCCTATGCATTATCGGATACGGAAAACTTACTTGTACTTACTCAGTACCTTTCTCGGAATTGTTAGTGAAGTGTGATTATTGATGAAAATATGTAACAAAATCTAAGCCGTCTGTGTATTAAGGATTGCTTTGGGATTTTTATTGCAAAACGTTCTGAGGGCTGGTGTGGAAGCGCGTTAGTGGAAGCATTGTGGCAAGAAACCTGCGTGCGGTTGACCTCCAGGCTATATTTCTGGCAAACATTTAGTTGCCGATGTCCAGAAACAAAACATCTGTCGGCCTGTTACATTGAATGACGAATTGTTTCTGAAGCTGTTTGGAAGGAGTTCCAGATGCAGTGCGCGGGAACTGGTAGAGCTTCCCAGCATTATTAGGGCATAATAGCCATTCCCCAATATTGCTTCGAAAAAGTGAAACTGATGGTTAGACGAAAGAATAATTCGTGATCGGACTGAGCATTACCTTTAAAGGCGAGGAAATCCTGCTTAAACATTTCGATTTCCGTCTGTCTCTTGTTTGACCCGACAACTTTGTTGATAGAACAAAGAGTGGATTTTTCATGTAAACCACATGCAGAAAAACCGCTGGACCGGAAGCGTAGAATCAAGGAGTCCAGCGCCGATTCCAGTTCTGCAACCAATGTTGTATTCACTACGAGCTTTTGCCAAAGCACTTCACTGCCATGGTTGAACATTAATGAAGGTAAATGGCTTTGCCTCGGCGACGCGCGTCCCAAGAATTATGAGTAGTATTCCAGCTGAAGGCGTCCGACTCCTCATCAGACTTGTGACCGCCTGGTTGCTTAAAAGGCCTGGCTGCCATCTGCATCTGTTGCTATCGAATCACTGAAAGGGGTGTTGATCATCCGAACCTACTCGGAAGGATATCTTCAAGTTTTTCACCTCATAAGCTCACAGCGCGGCATCCACAGGTTTCTTGCTGATTAGATAGCAATATGTTTGACAGTATGTTGGCAGCTGGAGTGTAAATTTTGTTGACTTGTTTAACGCTGTGTGAAACAAAATAAATGAAAAAGTATTTAAAAAGTGACAGGAAATTTATGCCTAAATAATTAGTGAAGCTGTGATTGTGCAGCATGGTTTTGCTGTGCGCACAGGTCATTCAATTTTTTCGCTCGTATTCTTTATGAAAACGATGTTTTCAGGTAACGGAGGAAACGTCACCATTGATTGATCGTTGCCACATAAATTCAACATCCTCTGTTGGAGCAGCTGTATGTGTGAAAAGAACGGCAGCCAATCCGAAGGTGAACTCGGTTTCTCTTTTTCTCTAATGTTTTTCTACTACCTCTCGAATTCAATGAAAAACTACATTAGTTCAGGTGAGGCACTGCACGATCACCGATTGTGAGAACGTTGGCATCTATATAACGGACGGGGCTCAGGTTTGTGACTATCATCATTTATCGACTCTTTTCTATAAAGTTATTCCAACGATTTAAGGGTCAATTCGAGGATTGTGAGATTGCTAGGAATTCCTTGGCAGGGGTTTGGGTAAAGAATCAGGCCAATCCATTCTTCAGAAGGTGTCATATTCATCATGGAAAGGATGTTGGAGTGTTCACATTCGAGTCAGTCAGACGTTACATAGTAGTTAATTAGAACTTGAAATACATAAAGCTTACTTTCAGATATGGCATGGGCTACTTTGAGAAATGCAATATTCATTCGAATCGTATCTCCGGTATAGAAGTCAAGAACAACGCAAACCCTACCGTGGTTCATTGCGAAGTTCATCATGGTCTAACTGGTGGTATCTACATACATGAAAAAGGTATACTATAACGTATTTAAAGTCGTACTCAGCAATTCCTTGTTCACAAGTTATTCGCAATTTAATCTCGTCGAATGAGTTGCCTTCACACAAATCTGTTATACGTTTACGTTTGAGCTTGTTGCGGTTGTCGACTGTATAGATTTCTAGAATAGGAGCTGGGATTTGGCAGGGACATGCATCCGTTGAACAAATGCACTGAAGCCCTTTCAGACCAATTAAACTTTTCATCCATTTGGAATCGATCAAATTGTATCAAATCATTATTCGCTTTTGAATTCAGCGAACCTGGATAGTTGCGTATGAAGAGCAAGTATGAGATGCTCTTTTTGTCGTTCCTTCTCTCAAGTTCTTCATCTATTACTGTACTATTTATTATCTGCTCGCTAATCTGGGTCCTTAACTTGTGAACAGGAAGATGCTCTAAATATAGCATCAGCAGCGCGCATTTCCTCCTCAGTCTAAGGGCGAAGTAGAGGTGAGAGGGGGATGTAATGAGTTCGGTCACAGACCTATTGATCGTAAGAAATCTTATGAAAAGGCATGAGGAGTAGTAAGATAGAGCAGTGTTGAGCTGGACTCAAATGGCATAATTTTAACTGAGATTGAGGCTTAGACGATAAATTTGCTTTAATTTATATTTTGTTAAAGGTCGTGGCAGGTTCATGGAAAATCGTATCTATTCAAATGCATTTGCTGGCATCTGGATCACAGGCAGTTCGGATCCGACCATCCGAAAGAACGAAATTTATGCAGGGCAACAAGGAGGCGTGTATATCTTCGGCGATGGTATGTTCAGTCAATACTCACTCGCGATTCCGCTTGTTCTATTACTAGAGCTCACGGTTTTTTTTTGTGCAGGACGAGGTCTCATCGAGCACAACAACATTTACGGGAATGCACTGGCTGGTATTCAAATCCGAACTTGCAGCGATCCAATTGTTCGACTAAATAAAATTCATGATGGACTACATGGTGGAATTTATGTGGTAGGGTCGCTCTACTCGCTGTTACTTTTGCAATAATTGTAGGATTCACTGAATCGATTAATAGTTTAAATTTTATAGCACGAAAAAGGGAAAGGCCTCATTGAGGAGAATGAGGTTTATGGTAATACCCTCGCCGGCATTTGGGTTACGACTGGTTCTTCACCTATTTTGAGGAAGAACAGAATCCATTCCGGAAAACAGGTGTGACCTACGAAGCCTTATTTTTATTCGTAGTTCATATTTTGCGTTATATTTAGGTTGGCGTTTATTTCTACGATAACGGGCATGGCCTTTTGGAGGAGAATGACATATTCAATCATCTTTATTCGGGTGTTCAAATTCGGTGAGTGGTTTGGAGGTTTTTGTTGTGGTCCCAATTCCAAACAGTAGTGATTTTAATCAGTAATGATTTCAGAACCGGTTCAAATCCAAAGATTACGAGAAACCGTATTTGGGGTGGTCAAAATGGCGGCGTTTTGGTCTACAACGGTGGATTAGGGATGTTGGAAGGTATGTTTCCTCCTATTCGTTATTGTACAACTGCGCTCATATTATATTTTACATCCTTTTTTTTCTAGACAACGAAATTTTTGATAATGCAATGGCGGGCGTCTGGATTAAGACAGACAGTCATCCAACACTTCGCAGAAACAAGATTTATGACGGACGTGATGGTGGAGTGTGTATATTCAATAATGGAAGGGGTGAATAATTCTTCTGCTTATTCCCGTTGCAATTCTTTGGTAGATCTTTCTCACTGAGTTATTTGTTATTTCTTAAAAGTTGCTATTCAGGCCTCCTTGAAGACAATGATATTTATCGCAATGCGCAGGCAGGAGTGCTAATATCAACTGAATCTAATCCAACACTTCGTCGAAATCGTATTTTCGAGGGGAAAGCTGCTGGAGTAGAAATTACAAATGGTGCTTCTGCAACGTTGGAAGCAAATCAACTTTTCCACAATAAGTTCGGAGGTAGTTACCGACGAATTAATCCTTTGTTGAACCATTTCAGTGATTTCATTTGTGTTGATTCAAATTCATCTTCATTTTTGTAGGTCTGTGTCTTGCTACGGATGTGAAACCGGTGTTACGCGACAACAAAATCTACGACAATCATAACGCGGTGGAGAGAGCTGTCGGACGAGGCCAATGTCTTTTCAAGATCAGCAGCTGTACGTCGTTCCCGATGCACGATTTCTACCGGTTAGTTTTTTTTTATCTTTGATCCCCTGGATATTTTTCCAAGGGGATCCGCATATATTTTCATGTTTAAGGTGTGTCAGTTGTAATACTACTGATCGCAATGCGATCTGCATCAACTGCATCAAAAACTGTCATCGAGGCCACACTGTCGAATTCGTGCGACATGATCGGTGAGTTCAAATACGTGTGTTTTCCTGTATACTCTGCGAAGTATCTCTATTGTTTAACGCTTTCATGATTCACTTCGATACCGCACGGTGGCTACGCGAAAAATTATCTTTTTGGCTTTTTGATTTTGAAACGTGTCCCTATACATTGTCATGCATGCAGAGCATATTTATTGTTAATGGAAAAAAATAATGGCATAAATGAGGATCGATAAAAATGTAAAAAGTAAAAATGTATAATATAATAGGTAAATACGTACATTACGATCGGCCGCATTATTCCATGTGAGCGTGTTTGTTATGATGGTTTCATATCAACGGGTTGCAACACCGTTACTGCTTACGCGCCGAGCAATTTGTGCGCGCGCAGCAATGAAACAATTGAGCTCAAGCAAAAAGCAATAGATCATTTTTGCTGGGTTTGGTATACAACACTTATGGAAGCATATTCGAAAGTTGTTCGAGGCAACTTATTGAAATAGATTCCTCGAGTTAACTTGAGGAATCTACCAAGATAGACTGGTCGAAAAAATGTAGAAGTTATGACCACTTCATTGCTCAAAGGCGCGTGGCAATGAGCTGATGCTGCTCAAGTGGCTAACCGTCAGAAGCGACTCTGCTTTGAAATATATGTAAGGACGGCTTCCTCACGATCTCACATAAATTCCTATCTGTGACCTCTCGGCTGCTTTGCGTCTTCGCCAGTCTTACTAGCGACAAGTTTTTTTTGTACAAGGCTAACATTAATTTTCCAAAATGTTTCGCCTCATTGATAGGGTTTCATCGGTCTCTTGGGTTTTTTCCCTTAGTACGCTGCTCATTCACCTACTACAGTTCCACTTATGGACATCGCTGCTCTTATTCTGCTGTCATGAGTGCATCTTTGAAGTGGGTCAGTGATACACGAATTTTCTACAGTAATGACCGTCTGACATATAGGGTAATTACAGATAAATGTATGCCGTGCTGCAAAAATAGGGAATATAGGGTTAACAGACTACTTGAACTTTTTTCTATGGTCCTGCCACGAATGGCGGAGAGCACAGACGATTAGAGAACGGCGCCTGGCTCGGCTCCAAATCCCAAGGAGGAGGTGAGAGCCCTAGGACTAAGCCTTTGTAAGGAGGGAGGGACTTCCGAGGTGGGTGAGCCAACTACAGTGTGGCAAAAGTTTGAATGTGTGAGATCACAGTGGTCATGAGCCGCTGATAAGGTGAGAGAGCGCAGACGAAAGCGTCGAGTGAGGCAGCTTAAAGGACCGAGTTCAATGTAGTCCGTCGACCTGGTATAGAGGGCAGAGGGTTGGAATAATGAGATTAGGCAAGTTGGGTTTGGATCGAATCATACTTTGCGTTATCCAGCGATTCTGCGTTTTTTTGCAGCAGATACGTATCGACTAAGCGGTCGTACGATCGTATGATCGATACGTATTTACTCAACATTCGAGCTGCAAAATTATGATCAACGTAATATTTAATATTTAATATTTATTTATTCAATGTAACTTACAACACAAGTGACGGCGGCCTCCACAAAATCTAATAGTTTTCTGCCAATGAAATGATTAGCCTGTTGCAGTTGTATTCTATCAATTGTCACTGATTACAACTATCATTTATCAACTATCAGCTATCACCTTAAGCTACTAGTATAAGATTCACTTGGAGACCGTTTCTACTTGTAGTGAGGAGTCTATAGTGTCATAACTGCATAATACAAGGGGTATGTATGAGATGAAAGCGTGTGGTGTAATCTGCACTTTAATTGTAAAAGAGAACCATTGAGAAAACAAAGATGCGACCCATCAAATCTCTATTGCAGATTCTTCTGTGATTGTGGAGCTGGCACGCTGGAGCATCAGTGCCGTCTGCAAACGGAAGTACGTGACAACGACACCGTCTATGACTCGGCCACGCCGACCGGCTCAGACACACCTAATATGTTGTGATTGGGGTAATGTTCTGAGAGTCGTTGCCCATTAGAGTACCGCATTATCACTGCCCAGAACGTCGTCTTTCGTTGTTACGATCTCTTCGAATTATATATATGCCTGATATTCTTCGTCATTCGTGACGAGCAAAGCAAGAGGATATATGCTACCCAATTCACTATCCATGTATGTCATGCATAATATTGATTCTCCACATCTGTGATAGACGCCGCCGTTCGAGTTGAGCCCAAATGCCTATTTGATGAGTCTTATCCTCCTCTTCCTCCTCAGATGTGATCAACGTGTGTGTGTGTGTTCTCGTAATCGCACTGCTTTCTCTTCTCTTTTCATTCATCATTCTTTTTCGCTATTCTTTTTTTCTAGCACCTGCCTCGGTGGATATTTAGAGTACAGAGCGCCGATATTTCACGTCGTGGCTGTGTACGTACATACACTTTAAGAAGAATTGACTTTACACAGGTTCTACCCCATCTTTCGATCGATGAAGCGTTGTGTTCTTTACTAGCACTCAGATTCTAATACTACTAGCTCTTTCATTATTTTCTTATTTTTGTTGGTAACTCATCGCTTGTTGTTTGAGTTCTCTTATGAATGTGTGGAATAACAAAAAAATCAACCTTCATGTTCGATTAGTTCAGAATGTTAGGACGATATTTTTGTACCCTAGGTGTTTCTATTTGTTAACGCACGCTTTCATTTGACGAACATCGTCAAACGCTTATATTTTGCTTCTGCTTGTTTTCATGTTTCGTTTGGTTTTTTGAGTTTTTAATTGACTAAATTTGCTGCTTTTTCCTCTTTTCGGATAGGCCCGCGTCTCATGGATGTTTGAAACTGATATTGTTTTGTTGCCTCGCACCTCTCTTCAGATATGAGTCCGCTGCCTTTTTTCTTCGTATTCATATATATTTTTTTCGTGTTTTCATCATTTGCTGTAATTACACGTAGAGTTTTCTAGTGGATCGATCCCTTTTAGTCCTGAATGATATGTGCATCGCTGTATGTGATTTCTACTTTCTTTTCCAAAGTCGATCGTTGCGAAGAACAACGTTCTGGATTTTTTAATGGAAAGTTGAAGATGTTATTTTAATACGTAATAAATCTGAGATACTTGTTTATTCTGTACCATTTCGACAAAACTTGTGATCCAATGCTGTCTCATACCGGTAGATCCTTGTTTAATGAGGCTACTAGTCCTTCCGTCCTTTCCTTTGCTTGACGAGATTTTCGTCCTGGAAGTAAAATGTTGATTGTGCTTCAGAAGTGAGTCAGAAATGCAGAAATCAGTAAAACCGCATGCAGACATGGGCGGAGTAAGCCGGGGTGGATTTCGAGCGACTCGTCCGTTGGGGAGCGCGTGCTACAGAGGCAGAATCCTATCCTTCCTCAGGACTAGGAGAACAAAAAAATCACTTCGAAAATTTTTGTCTTCCAACAAAAATCGCCGAGGAATTGCGCGTTTGTAATGTATATATGTTGTTAAAGCGAACAAGTGCGGAAAGTAAAGGAAGTGTGTCTTTGAAAACAAATAGTTCAAATAACAAATATGTTCCCACGCAGGTACCCTGCGTCCAAATAAATAAATAAATTAATAAATAAAGAAATAAACATCGTAAATTCAAAAATTCAAACGGCTGTTTTGTTCAACTAGCCTGGGTTAGGGATAGGATATGGCCCCTGGGGCCGTATGCTATCTCCCCGAAGGGGTTGGGGACGAAAATCCTTTAAATTTCTCTGTCTTCCCAACTGGGATTGCCCTGATAAAGGACCTACATTTAATGTATGTATGTAGGTTAAAGTAAACATGCATTGAAAATGAAGAAACTATATCGTTCAAAAAAAAATTTAAAGGAAACTTTGGATCACTTAGCTTCGGGGAAGCATAGCATACGGCCCCTGATGACAAGCGCCCCGTTGCTCAGTGAGTGGCTGCTTTGGTTCCTCCGCCCACGTCCAACCTGACTTTGGTTCTCAAGCGTACCTCGCAGCAGCCGTTCTTCACGTCCAGGCATGTGCTCGACAAGATGTTTTCCTTTGGTTTCGGGCAGTAGACATTCGAATGCTAGCGTGTCAATAAGGCATAAGACGCTCATGATGCAGTACGGTAGCGCAATCCAGAGATCCATCTAAAATCGTATGTTTATTGGATAATTATCGATGGATTCATAACTAACTTGAAACCAAACAAAATATAAGCGGTCTTTCTAGCACGCCAAAATTCTATTGAATAGAATTTAATTTGTGACTTAAATTTGTCTATTTTTTGCCAGCAAATTAGTTGTATTTCTTTGAAGCTCTAGCTCAACGGTTAAGAAGGGCTGCTATTCTTTTTTTAGGTCGCTTTCTAAAGTGCCCACTAAAATATGAATGTCCGGTATTGGTTGACGAACTTCATGTCGTGTTGCAGGATGCGACACTGCGTTAACAGTGGGTCATATTATCGTGACCATTTCGCTCAAAGATTCGTGATGACTTTTAGGCAAATTGTATAATGTATGTAACTCATGTCACATCTCACGTCTCAACTCAGCTGAGGAGAATATACTGGTAGAAAAAATGCAGACGTTTTGTAGGCGTTTGCATAAAGCCAAAAGCCCAACTCTAATCATTCAGTGGCCACCAAACAGGGTACCCGACAGGAGGCCCGTCGCGCGGCAAGAAGGCAGAGTCGGCGGACGAGTCGCAGCGCGTGATGTGCGATGTAGGACGTACAATGGACATTCTATTTAACTTGACGCGAAATCACTACAGTACGCGCTGCGACTCGTCCGCTGACTCTGCCTTCTTGCCGCGCGACGGGCCTCCTGTCGGTTACCCACCAAACAGTGTGCTAACAGGAAGGGGGGGGGGGAGTTCGTGAGGACGGAGCGGATTGATACTTTTTTTATAATCCAGAGATCCATCAGTTTTTGCATGTTTCGGAATTATTTCTGTCCTTTTTTGGAACCTCAAACAAACATATATTGGTAGTGATGAAATATTGGCAGTACTGGTAGCACAGCGTTTATCACGCGAAAGCCGCGTAGTGGCAAGTGGCGACAGTAACAATGCGCACGGTCCTGGGACCGTGCGTATTGTAACTGGAGCCTGGATATCGCGACGTCCTGGCCAACCAAGCCTTCCATCCCTCCGGGAGTCGGTTAATTGGTACCAGACTTGTCTGGGAGGATAAAAACACTGACTTGTACATCGGCTGGCCCCGCAAGTCATTGTATAGGCCACATCGCATTCAAAATGCCTGTACGATTCTGAATTGGAGTGAAATACGCGACCCATCCCAAAGAGGATTGATAAAATACCGAATGCTTTTTCTTTAATATTTTTTTCGTCGTCTACATCGATCTCACAGACGGTCGTACAACGACGACGGAAACTGTTTGCATCTCACCGTCTGAGAGACGTTCTACATCAGTTTTGTCCCAAGTGAAACTACGGGGTTAGGTGGAAACAAGAAGTGGTCTGCACTCGTCCTCGAACGTCGCCATGGTCTACGCACTAGTTTTGAGATGAGGGACAGTGACTTTATGTGGTCATCTTTCTTCAATTACTCAGTTAACAGGGATCATTAAAATTCTGCCAATTTTGCAATTCTTCTTCTTCTTCTTCTTCTTAGCGTTGTTGTCCAACTCTTGTCGGGTACGCTTTTTCCACCAATGTTTTCCAGCGATCCCGGTTCCATGCATCGGCTGCAGACAGGTCCGCAGCATTCATGTCGTATTTCAGGTTGTCTAGCCATCGCTTTCTGGGTCGGCCTCTTGGACGTGTACCGACGAACACTATGTTGTCTGCCGACTTGGACACAGCATCAGGGGGTCTTCGTTGGACATGACCGTACCAGCGGAGGCATGAGGATCATTCAAATTCTACCACTTGTGCAATTCTTCTCAGTAACTTCGATACCCACTACATGCATCGCTAACCACTCTACCTCTACTGATTTCTACTCTT